CAAAATTAATGAACCAATAAAGAAATGGGCAAGTGAACTACTAAGCAGAACTTCTCAAAAGAAGAAATTCAAATGGCCAAAAAACACATGAAAAAATGCTCACCATCCCTAGCAATAAAGGAAATGCAAATCAAAACCACACTATGATTCCACCTCACCCCTGTTAGAATAGCCATCAATAAAGAAATGGGCAAGTGAACTAAGCAGAACTTCTCAAAAGAAGAAATTCAAATGGCCAAAAAACACATGAAAAAATGCTCACCATCTCTAGCAATAAAGTAAATGCAAATCAAAACCAACCACACTATGATTCCACCTCACCCTTGTTAGAATAGCCATCATTAGAAACACCACCAACAACAGGTGTTGGCGAGGATGCAGGGAAAAAGAAACCCCCTTACACTGCTGGTATAAATGTAAACTAGTACAACCACTCTGGAAAAAAATTGGGAGGCTTCTTAAAAATCTAAACATAGATCTACCATATGATCCAGCAATACCACTCTTGGGGATATACCCAAAAGAATGTGACTCAGGTTACACCAGAGGCGTCTGCACACCCATGTTATTGCAACACTATTCACAACAACCAACTTATGGAAACAGCTAAGGTGCCCCACTACTGATGAATGGATTAAGAAAATGTGGTATTTATATACAATGCAATTTTATTCAGCCATGAAGAAGAATAAATGTTATCATTCACAGGTAAATGGATGGAACTGAAGAAAATTATTCTGAGTGAGGTTAGCCTGGTCCAAAAGACAAAAAAATTGTATGTTCTTCCTCATATGCAGCCATTAGATCAAGGGACAACATAACAAGGGGATTGGACTTTGATCACAGGATAAAGTGAGAGCACACAAGGGAGGTATGAGGATAGGTAAGACACCCAAAAAACTAGATAGCATTTGTTGCCCTCAAAGCAGAGAAACTAGTGCAGATACTTTAAAGTGAAAGAGACCAATAGGAGAAGGGGACCAGGAACTAGAGAAAAAGTTAGTTCGAGTAGAATTAACTTAGTAGGTAACACACATGTACAGGAGAACAATGTAAGTCAACTCCCTGTGTAGTTATCCTTATCTCAACTAGCAAAAACGCTTGGTCCTTCCTATTACTGTTTATACTCTCTCTTCAACAAAATTAGAGATAAGGGCAAAATAGTTTCTGCCTGGCAGCTAGGGGTTGGGGGGTGGTAAAGGAAGGGGAAGGTGGAAGGGGAGAAATGACCCAAACATTGTATGCACATTTGAATAAAATAAAATTTTAAAAACGTGGCTTTCTTTTTAATCAGAAAAATAGGAAATCAGGAACCAGTCTGAAAATTTGGCCTCAAGCTGATGAATCTAAATGTTTACATGGATTATCAGATATCCAAAGAAAGCTTCTAAGATCCATGTTAGTATTCTTAAGTGTCCCTAATTCTATTGCTGTATTAGGATAAAGAGATTTAAAATGCAAAATAATGTTTCCTAAGCCTTCTTTCACATAGAAATAAATTAAGTACATTTTATTTAAATTTTTTATTGAAAATTTAAAAATATAAATAAATAAAATAAAATATAAAATAAATAATAACTAAATAAATAAGATGATAATGACTATGAAGTAAACTGAAGCAGGGTGAGATAAGAAAAACAAATTTCTTTTGGGCCTAAAGGAATTCTTCAAAATTTTTAAACTGAGAATGGCTCTCTTTCATTCTTTCCAAATAAATAAATTAAGATAAATCCTAAAATCAAATTCAAAGATGGGACAAAAACATAATATAATAGTTTATTGTTTATAAAGTCACTTTAGAAATGGCTAATCATTTTGGGGAAAATTACATAAACTTGTAGGTTATACCAAATTATATTGCAGATAAAATACAGATGTAAGTGTAAATAAAGTAAGCCATAAAATTACTGGGAGAAATTCAAATAAATATATAACAAGATCATGATCAATAGAAATGTTCAAATAATAGTAGTAAAATCAGAAGTAATAAATCAAAAGAATAATATATTTGATGACATATTACTCACTTTTCTATATGTAAAATCACTAAATGTACAAATAAATATTAAATTGTAAAATAGGATTTCCAGCATATAAGACTGACAAAGACTTAACAATAGCTAAGGATATCCAGGGTATACTAATGTCAAAGAAAAAGTTGATAATTCAGTGAACATTTCTATCAAAAATCATCAGAAGGGAAAAATATTCTATTAAAAGTAATTACTAATATACATTGGAGAAATTGTTCTATATAATCATCATTCAACAAAATAAATAATATGAACAAAAGAAGAAAATATAATTTGCATCATTATTTTTTGGCAAAGATTCACTACACTGACAATGCATCTTCCTTTCTCCAAGGACACTATCCAAATTCCCAAATGTATTAGTTAGCTCTTTTTTGTCTTTTTCAATAATATAAATTACACTTCAGTGATTTTGAAACAAGGTCACCAGAGACACTTGTTTTATAACTTAGTTAATTATCCTGTTACAGATTGACCACATAGATCATTCTGCATCATATCTATGGTGAAACTCCAAGGGATCCATTCTGTTTAAGATTCAAGGGTCAGATCCTTAACTTTTCAAGAATCAGAGGAATTTCTAGTTTTCCCAGGCCTATTTATTAGTCTTTTTTGTATTTAGCCACTCAGATTACACAGAAATAGTACCTTTTGAATTTTAACCTGATATTAGAATTCATGGTAACTAGATATAGGAATAAAATTTAAGGTAAGTTTGTGTACAAGTTTGAGTACAAGTTCAAGTAGAAAGCATATCTAAATTATACCTATATCACTAATAAATTCTTTCTTAATAAAGAATGGCACTGAGGATTTGGGTGAATAAAATAAAAGCTAATGCCTGAATGGTAGACTAAAGTGTAAGCATTCTCATATTTTCAAGCCAATATCTTTCACATGTGAAATTTGGTAAAATAAAATATTTTCTGACACTCTCAGTTATAGACATGTATTTGTGTATTCATAAGGATATGAGAAATTAATTTCTCCTTGAATGCCATATATTTTGCAGAATATTAATCACCAATGCAAATTAAGAAGTCTACAGGCCTGTTTTATGAATTGTTAAAATATAGAGGCAATAAAATAACCAAATTAAATTAGCATACAGTACTTCTATTGTCCCCACTGCCAACAGACTGCCCTGATTTCATCAGTGAAATCTAGAAGTACCACAAAACAATTGTGAAATCTTCTAGGTAAATACATCAGCACAGAAAAATTTTTGTTAGCTAATATCTAAAACTGTTTAAAGCCCTCATTGCCTTACCTATTTTTGTGATTTTGTTCACAAGGTCTATATATTAGATGTAATTTAAATGAAAAGTTTTATGAAATTGTGATCAATTGAGCTGATTGTGACTGTATCATACTTCTCAAAAATGCACTGAGGCCTTGTGGAGGCATAAAATATCTTCTTTTATTGAACAATGTACCTTCAATATAAGTATAGTTCCTTCTATGTAGACCACAAAGGTAAAAAAACTTTTCTCAAGAACAAACTTAAAATGTCAGCAAATAATATATCTTGGTGTTTGTCGATATTTAAGATGAGTTCATTCAAAGCCTGAGAAATTGTTCTATTCCAGAAAATAGGATAAGATACAAATTTTACTTTTGTAAATACGATAGGCCCTCATCTCAAGAATATTACAGTTTAATTGGAGAGACAGAATAGTAAATACACAATAAAAACTGCTCTGAGGTAGGGATAATGGCTCTAGAATGCAGTGCAGGTATGCCGAGGCAGTCTTAAAGGAATTGAGATGATAGCTTAGAACTTATTCTAGATGCAATAAGGAAAGTGGATTAAAATTATTCAGAACAGGACACACAAAATCCAGTTAGAATATGAATGCTTCCTTCTGAGTTTGAGGTCAAAGCAATCAGAGTTGAAGTAGAAGCATGAAGTGGAAAATATGCATGTATTTTTAACATGTTAAGTATTTTAAGAATGTACAGTATAAAGAGATTGGTCACTATCCATATGTGACCAACCAGGCAGAAGAACTCCCACAGGAACTACTAGACACTTTGGGCTTTTGCAAGAAGACTGCCACTAATGATTTAGGCAAAAATAGTGACTGTGGATTGTTGACTAAAGCCAGTTTTTTTGTTCAGCAAGTAGCAGTCTGAATAATTCAAGATAGGAAAACAGACTAGAGTCTGAATAGAGATTAAAAGGGATAGATGATAGATAAATGATTAGATAGATAAATAGATAACATAGATAGATAGATAGATAGATAGATAGATAGATAGATAGATAGATATGCTGACTGGGTGAATTTATGATTTGAAAGCTTTATTTAAGTAGCCCAACTTTTGAAATACAGTGACTGAGTGTATGTTAACCTGAGCTACACGAAATCAAAATAACTTGTGCCAAGCATTTACTCATATTATAATAAATTGGTCAAATAGAAAGGGTTTTTTATCAAATAGTAGTAAAATGTATAGAAATAAGAGCTATTATAGAATATTAAATGTTCAGATGAAATGGGAAAATTATTAAAGTATTTTTAAATATTTTATTTCATTTTTATTAACATGTATTAATTGTATATGTTAGCAGGGTTCACTGTGATGTTTCTGCTCATGCATCTAATGTACTAATTTCACTCTTTTTAAAGTTTCTTATTGTCAAAGCTCATTATTTTCATTCAATTTTTCTTTTTTATTTTCTTTTCTCTACTTAGATACATTGACTTTTTATATGCAGATTGCCTAAGTCATCAAAAATAATTATGAGTCAGTAGCTCACACCTGTAATCCTAGCTCCTCAGAAGGCAGAAATCAGGAGGATCACAGTTTGAAGTCAGCTCAAAGCAATTAGTTAGCAAGACTCTATCTTGAAAAAACCCTTCACAAAAAAGGGGGCTCACAGAGTGGCTCAAGCAGGAAGAATATCTACCTAGCAAGTGTGAGGCCCTGAATTCAAACCCCAGTGCTGCCAAGAAAATAATAATAATGAGAAATCACACAGCAGTAACAACATTCATCTTGTTGGGACTTACAGATGACCCACTGCTGCAAGTTCTGGTTTTTATCTTTTTATTTCTGACATACATTCTGAGCATAATTGGTAACCTAGCTATTATCATTCTCACCCTGATGGATACCCATCTTAAAACACCTATGTATTTTTTTCTTCGAAACTTTTCCTTCTTAGAAATCTCATTCACGACAGTCTGTATTCCCAGATTCCTGTACAGTATATCAACCAAGGACAATACCATAACTTATAATGCTTGTGCCAGTCAAATATTTTCTATTGGGCTCTTTGGGGCTACAGAGTTTTTTCTCCTAGCTGCCATGTCCTATGATCGCTATGTGGCTATATGCAAACCTTTTCATTACATGACCATCATGAGCAACAGAGTCTGCACCATCCTTGTCCTCTGCTGCTGGATCTTTGGACTGATGGTTATCATCACACCCCTGGGCATGGGTCTCCAGTTAGAATTCTGTGACTCCAATGCCATTGATCATTTTGGCTGTGATGCTTCTCCTCTTTTTAAGATCTCATGCTCAGATACTTGGTTTCTGGAGCAGACTGTTATTACTTGTGCAGTATTGACTTTCATTATCACACTAATAGCTGTGATTCTTTCTTACATATATATTATAAAGACAATTCTCAGATTCCCTTCTTCTCAGCAAAGAAAAAAAGCATTTTCCACCTGTTCTTCTCACATGATTGTTATATCTATCACCTATGGCAGCTGCATTTTTATCTACATCAAGCCTTCAGCCAAAAACCAGGTGGACATTAATAAAGGAGTATCTGTGCTCACTACATCAGTTGCCCCTTTGTTAAATCTATTTATTTATACTTTGAGGAATAAACAAGTGAAACAAGCTTTCAGTGACATAACCAAAAAATTTACATTTTTCTTGCATAAGTAAGATTCAAACAATTAAATGAAAATTAAAATTTTTACATTTTTCTGACAGTCCTATGTTGGAGGTTCAACCAGTTTAACTTTCTCATGATCCCTTAGATTTTAATTTATGAACATCTTAAAGACAGAACAACTAGCTGAACTTGGGACTTTCTGCAGAGGCATGAACATGTCCAAACAATATTAAATAAATTCCCAGAGGAGACCAGTCCAAATTACTTATCCAGTGAATTTTGGACTAAACAAATTATAGCTTTTGACATTACTAAGTGTAGGGATAGAGACAAGCAATGGAAACAGTTTTGTATCTTTAGGCCAATGCTACGCAGAGGAGGGATCTGGACCTCAGCATTCTATGTGTGGTATTCCCAAGTATGCCTGACTAGGGAATTGACTGAGCACGTGTAGGGAAAGAGTAGTACAGGATTCCAGAAATAAGGCTGCGTACTGAATAAGATACTAGAAGCCAAGTAACCTGAGCTTGGAGTTTTGGCTCAGGTTGAGTGAAGAGCCCCTGTTATTACCTCCAAAAACCACAGCCTTCTAACTAAATAAGGAAAAAAAAAACACTTAGGATACCTTAGAAATAAGGGTCAAGTTGTAGGGCAAAAGTTAGAAAATTAAGGCCTAAGGGCAAAAATTTATCCACCACACATTGTTGTAATAATGTCTTATTGAATATGCTCACATTTATTCTTTCCATAGGGACTATGGATGCTTTTAATGAAAGTTCAACAAATCCTCATGTCCAAAAAAGTCAAAAATGTTTGCTACTTGTCATTTTACTTTTAAAAAACTATCAATTGGTGCAGGATTTATTTTCTACTTTTATGATTTTGCATCTTTTAGAGAAGAAATTATGAGAGGTATGTGGCATGTAGCTAGATCCACTTCATCTACAGAAATTCTTCTAGGGAGCAACTCTTAATCTTATTGATGAGTTAAACAAACTCAGCTGGGTTATCCTTCTGCAGTCTCCCCTTATGACATTAAATGTACTTCAAAACTCATTTTAAAAGAATAAGAATTTGGGGAAACTTGTCTATTTTGTCCACCTAGATCTCAAATTAGCAATGAAATTTAAAACCACATCAATATTTTATAATAAATGGAGAACTCTCCTGTTTTGCCTTTGTTTTCTTTGGTTTTTGTGTTTATTTGCTTGCTTGCTTGCTTGCTTGCTTTCTTGGGGAGGTACTGTGTGGTTGAACTCAGGTTCTTGTGTTTTTTTGGCAGGCTCTCTACCACTTACGCTGTTCCTCTAATCCCATTTTGCATTTGTTACTTTTTAGATAAGTTCTCTCTTTTTGCCTGACTAGTCTGGACCACAGTCCTCCTATTAATGCTTTCCCAAATAGCTAGGGATTATAGGCACCTGCCATGAGCCCAGTCACTGGTTGAGAAGGGGTCTTGCTAAATTTTTTACCATGGTTATTCTCAAACCTATTGTCTCAAGTAGCTAGAATTACAGGCTTGAGCCACCCTGTTCTGCCCTGTTTTGCCATTTAAAAGGGTACTATAGGATGAGGAGGTCGGTCACTGGTGACGATCTTTGCTCTGTCTTATATTAAAATTTCAGGTTCCTGGTGAGATCTTTATTCTATTCAGAAGACTTTTGAAATTAGCTATGATTTAAGAAATATTTTTGCCATAATCTGATAATAAAAAAATTAGCTTCCACTAAAGCTGAAGTTACATACAAAGTAAAAGATTTGTTGGATTCTTTACAATAATAGATTTTCACCATAAAATGATAAACTTTAGTTTGGTGTCTTATACAATGTCCCTAGTACAAAGTGAAACAACTCATGAAATGTAAAAAAACAATAAACTTGATTATTGTTGTTAACATTGTGTCAAGTGTTGCAGCCGTTGACCTGGAATAGAAGACCTGAGATTTGAGTCCTGGTTCCATCATTTATTAGGTTCAGAACCTTGCAAAATTCTGCACTGTGCTTTTTACTATTTAAAAAAATGGTGATCCACCTGAACTGCCTAATGAGTAAAATTGTTATTTTGTAATCCAGTGCCATGATGTGCAAAAAAACGCTTTCTATATTTCTGTTTCTATGTTATAAAATCAGAACTTCTTAAAATTTTAAGAAGTTGTGATTAGACAGGGGTAAGGGATTTAAAGTAAAGTGAGTAAACTGCAACAGTTAAACTACTTATGCAAATAGTTTACAAGAATTATTATGTCTTTAAAGCAAATATTAACTATTGTAAAATATTTGTACTTTTATTATTTTGTTTGCTCCTAATATGTACTGCTATTTTTTAGCAGTGACTGAAATGAACACAAAACTTTTAAAAATACTCTGTTACTGATAAGAACAATTAGATAATTATCCAATATCCCCATAGACATGTCTGATTTGTTTTGTGACACCTAACAGATGTGTAAGCTTCATACTATCTATTTCTTAATGATGCACTGAGCCCAGATGCTTATCTTCACTACCTTTTCATAAACTTGACTAGATTATGACAGTAGTAGTACCATGGATAAAATTTCAAGAAAATATTAACATCAGAGAAAATATATTATATACTCTCTGGTCTCAGAAGTTCCACCCATAGTAATTTTTCCAAAATAATTCTGAATTCTGTCCACAATCATAATTATTTTATTTATTTATTTTTAGTGGTACTGGGGTTTGAACTTAGGACCTCATGCTTGTTAGACAAGTGCTTTACCACTTGAGCCACTCCATCAGCTCAATGATAATTATTTTGATTTGTTAATAATACTTATCTCTAAAAGTATATGTGCTTAACATTGTCATCAAGCTGTATATTTATGAAAGAATTTCATAATTCACTGGCTTGAAATGAGTGGCAACCTCTATTATGTAAAGAATCTAACTTCTGTGGTTCCACAAGTTTAAAAATACTGAATACATTTGCTTAAAGAAAACTGAACACTGACTGAAACATGATTTAACTATGGCTTTGTTGTTCCTTTTCTATATTTAATCTACCTCAATTATGTCACTTGTGTTAAAGTAAATAGTGTAATTTATTAAAAATGTCAAACTTCACATTTCACCTCCTTGATTGATTTCAGCTGCTTAGGAATTATGACATAGTACTTGTTGCCACAGTTTAGCAAACACCACAGCTTGCAATGCTTTTGTTCTTTTTAGTCTTTATTTCTTAACTAAAACAGAGATGCTTTAACAAGTATTTCTTTTCTTATTTACATATTTATCATTCTTAAAAGTTCAACAAATTCATTGTGTTCCCTGTAGTGACATTTGTTTCCTTGCTTTCCGAATATCTAGTTTCCATTGAGGAGATATTCAGAGGAGACAAAGCTAGATTTCTTTTTTCTCTACTCAAAATTTTAGCAATTGACTAATAAAGAATGCAAGCATAGAAATAAAGCAAGGTGTACATCCAAATATTTTATGAATGTCACACAGAGAAATTATCTCTTTATCATGCAAGACCCAATGCCTAATGTCTACAGAAAAAATAAACATACAGGGAATAGCTGTCAGAGATACAGAAATTCATGCATTTCACATTTCATAGCAATCACCAGACTCAGCCAATATTTTATCCATTAAGAGTTGCAATATTAATATAGAATTTTGTTCTACCTAAAAAGAAACATAATATGTAAACATAAATTAAAAATATTATTCTCTCTACAAATTTGTAAAACACTTTAATCCCAACATTAACATCTGTTTGAGCTATTGTAACTGATATAAAAATCCACACCACTCACAGATGAAAGTTGTCTAATAAGAATGATAAGGATATTGAGCTACATTATGTTTCTAAATAGATCTGAGTAAGCATGATAAAGAGGAGTTTGAGTCCTTTGCTTACTGCATTTTATCTACTGACAATGTTTACATATGCATTTTTAAGTACCCAGTTATTATTACAACATTTGGAAGAAGTTGAATTCATCCATCTGCTAAGATAATACTGTCCTAGCAAAAGCACCTTTAAAAGATTTTTACATAGTCTTGCCAATCTGCAACTTCTTACATTATAAAATTACCCTTTATCTTGAATTCATTAGGTACATTATATATAGTTACATTCTTCTGTAAGATGTTTGCCTTCTAAGAAACTTTCTTTGACTAAAAATGGGACAAAATTTAAAAACACTTTTCTTCATTATCTCTCAAATAATGTCTTACTCCTTTTCCAAAATAACAACCATGGCAGGAACTGTGAGTTAGTTCACTCTCAATATTATTTTCAATCCCTTTCCTCTTTGTTTCCTTCAACCTGAGGAACAGAAAGTGAATGATTCAAATTCCCTGTGCTCATAGTTTGTAGGCAAAAAAGTCCAGTCTTGGTCAATGAGATGGAAGCTTAAGTCCCTGTCTCCTAATCAAATACCTGCTCTTATTTCTATCCTGGCTCCTTCTTCCTGCCTGAAATGCAAATTTATTGTCAGGTAATGCAGTAATCATATTGATTGCACTGTGTATCAAAACAACATGTAAGAAAAACAGGGCAGGAAGGAATAAGCTTATATATTTGATGAATACCTCAAGCAACTGCGTAAATCCTGATCTATCTACGCTAACTTCTCCTTGGATATTAACATAGTTAATAGGTAATATATACATATTCTCTAGTTTCAGGGCTACTTTAATTTATTCTGAATTGAAAAAGTAGGAGATATATATGCCTTACTTTGGCATGCTACTTCATTCAGGTACTTTGTTGGTTGTAGACCCAATATGAATCCCAACAACCTTTCTAAAAGTGTAAGTAGATGATGAAGCAGAGAGAAAATGCAGGGATAAGACACTACTATGATGATCTATGACTTGCAGCTATAGAGAACTGGAAGAGACATTAGAAATAGTGTCATGACTCTTATTTTGTGAAAGAGGAAATTAATGACTGCCATAGTAAGAAAAGTTGTTCCTGTCTACCTAGCTTAGTTGATGCTAAAGTAAAATCTGGTCTCTTGACCATCGATCCTTCTTGCTCCTCATTATCATAGCAAAGTAAGCTAAGTCTTACTAT